AGTCTCATGAGCTTTCCTGCCCAGGCTGGCTTTGAACCGCAGCCTTAGATCTAAACCTCCTGAGTAGCTAGGATGACAGGCTTGAGCCACCAGTGCATGGATTGCTATACATCATACAGAGAGTAGGCTGGTTATTATAGATAATGCATTGGTTTCCTAGGCTAGTGGCTAAAGACGATTGATCCAAGGTTTGTTGTTACATCTGGTCTGGTCATTGTCTTATTTCTATATTCAGTCTCTCAGTGGTATTAGTGTTCTTGGAGTGATGGAGCAAGAGCCAGGGCTTCTGGAGTCCCAGCAGACTGGACTCAGCCACCTGTCCTGATACGAGACAAGTAGGGTGAAGGGCAAGGAAAAAGGAAGAAAGGGAAAGGAAGGAAGGAATTCCGTGTGGCCACATAGGGAAAAGTAGGTAATGAGGGTCAGTGACCCCAAAGTCTTATTTTTCAGAGTGCTCACAAGAACTTCCAGGTTTTATAGAAAAGGAAGAAAAGCTGGGCACCAGTGGCTCACGCCTATAATCCCAGCTACTTAGGAGCTGAAGTCAGGGGATCATGCTTCAAAGCCAGCCCAGGCAGGGAAGTCCGTGAGACACTTATCTCCAGTGAACCACCAGAAAACCGGAAGTGATGCTGTGGCTTAAGTGGGAAAGTGCTAGCCTTGAGCAAAAGGTCAGGGACAGCGCCCAGATCCAGAGTTCAAGCCCCCAGACTAGCTAAAAAAAAAAAAAAGGAAGCGAAGAAGGGAGGAGGTTGAGGTGTGAATAACATCACAGGCAGTAGTTTTGATAAGGCCACAGATAGAATCAATCCTCAGCTCCGATTTTAGGAGGACTTAATAGAGAAATTGTCACTATTGCTTGGAGATAGTTTCTGTCAAGTATTTTAAAAAAATGTTTATGGGTCAGTCCTGTCTTCTTCCACAACCCAGGGGACTCGCAGGAAGGAAACACTGTATAGAGGAAAAGTTAAACCAAATAGTCAGATTGGGAAAAGAAAATGTATTAGGCCAGTGACCTTTGCCCTCCTTCCTTAAAACTATGCAGGGATTGGTGGTGGATACCTTAATCTCAACATTCAGGAAGCTGAGCAGAAGGATTCTGACTTGAGTTCTAGGCTGACAGTAAGGTACTGTCTAAACAAACACAAATGTATACCAAAAAAAAAAAGTGCTAAAATCTAGTTGTTTTTTTAATTGGTTGTAGAGTTTGAACTCCTCAAGGCTTGGGCACTGTCCCTGAGGTCTTTTGCTCAAGGCTAGTGCTCTACCACTTCGAGCCACTGCTCCTCTTCTGTTTTCCTGATGCTTAATTGGAGATAAGAGTCTCAGGGACATTTCCTGCCCCAGCTAGCTTTGAACTGTGATCCTAAAATCTCAAGCCTCCTGAATAACTAGGATTACAGGCTTGAGCCACCAGCACCTAGCTAGTTATTTTTATTTTTTTGCCCATGCTGTCAGACTTGGGAGCTCAAGTATACCTTATCTTTAATTCTTCCAAGGAACTAGAACTGTAGGTCTGATTCACCACACCCAGCAAGAATGTTTAACTTTTCAGCTTGGCCCCTGTGGCTCACATCTGTAATCCTAGCTACTCAGGAGGCTAAGATCTAAGGATCGTGGTTTGAAGCCAGCTGGGGCAAAGTCTGAGACTCTTATCTTCAGTTAGCACAAAAATGTTGGAAATATAGCTGTGGCTCTAGTGATAGAATATTAGCCTCGAGCAAAAGAAGCTAGCACCCTGACTGTGAGTTCAAGCCCCAGGACCTGCATACACAAAAAAAGTTTTAACTTTTCCAAGTTAGGTACCAAATTATTTTTGTGCTGGAGACTGAACCCAGGGCCCCATTAATGCTAAGCACATACTTCACGACTGAGACTCCCACCACAAAACAAAACAATACTAAAAATTGGAGATGAGAGTCTCACAGACATTTCTGCCTGGCTGACTTTGAACAGTGATCCTCAGATCTCAGCCTCCTCAGTAGCTACGATGACAGGCATGAGCCACCAGCGCCAGGCTTAGCACTGTTTTGAACTGTGGGCCTTATACTTACTAGACAGATACTCTAGGGCTGAGCCATGCCTCCTTTTTTCCCCTGGTTATTTTGAGATAAAAGTCACTTTTTGCTTAGACCTGCACCTGGATTTCAATCCTCTCACTGTAACGAATGACAGACACACACTGCTACACTCAGGTCTTTAGATGAAAAACTAAAGACAGATGCTCATAGCTCACACCTGTCATTCTAATTACTCAAGAGGCTGAGATCTGGGGATTGCCATTCAAAGCCAGCCCAGGCAGTAACAGCTATGAGACTCATCTCCACTAAACTACCAAGAGCCAGAAGTGGCACTGTAGCTCAAGTAGTAGAGCACTGGCCCTGAGCAAAAGCAGCTCAGGGACAGCGCCCAGGCCCTGAGTTCAAGCCCCAGGACTGGCTGAAGTGGGAAGAGGGAGCCAAGTCTTCATGGCTCACGCTTGTAATCCTAGCTACTCAGAAGGTTAAGATCTGAGAATTGTGATTCAAAGCCAACTTGGCAGGAAAGTCCTTGAGATTCTTATTTTATATAATTTATTTTTTTGTCAGTCATGGGGCTTGAACTCTGGGCTTGTGTGCTGTCCCTGCACTTTTCAGCTCAAGGCGAGCACTCTACCGCTTGAGCCACAGCCACCCCTTCTGGTTTTCTAGTAGTTTTTATTGGAGATAAGAGTCTTAAGGACTTTCCTGCTCAGGCTGGCTTTGAACCATGATCCTCAGATCTTAGCCTCTGAGTAGCTAGGATTATAGGCGTGAGCCACCAGCACCCTGGCTCTTTGAGATTCTTATTTCAATTAACCACCTAAAAACCAGGAGTGGAACTGTGACTCAAATTGGTAGAGCACTAGCCTTGAGCAAAAAGCAACTCAGGCATAGCACCCAGGCCCTGAGTTCAAACTCCAACATAAGGAAAAAAAAAAAGACACCTAGTTATCAATCTTTTTGATCTATTTCAAAGTCTTTCACAATTTTTTCTATACTTTAGGCCAACTTTTCTTCAAATAGTTACATTAAGCCAGGCGCCTGGGGTTCACACCTGTAATCCTAGCTATTCTGGAAGCTGAGATCTGAGGATCACAGTTCAAAGCCATCCCAGGCAGGAAAGTCCATGATACTCTCATCTCCAATGGACCACCAGAAAACTGGAAGTGGCTCTGTGGCTCACTCAAGTGGTAGAGAGCTCGACTTGAGCTGAATAACTCAGGAACAGCAACAAGGCCCAGAGTGCAAGTCCCATGACTCAAAAAAATAAAAAAGAGGTAGAGTGCCAGCCTTGTGCAAAAGAGCCAAAGGACGGCAACAAGGGCTGGAGTTTGAGCCCCATTAGTGGCACTTGATTCTCTTTATCACGAATATGTGCAGATTCTCTCATCTGTCCACTGGTGGAATAGGAAATCCCTTCGGGAGTGTTATGAGTCACACGTGACCACCCAGTTTGACCAGCTACCCCCTCTCTTCCAGTTATATTGGAAGCATCATGCTTCTTTGTGTGGTTTGTGCAGAGGGTAACGCTTGGTGTATTGCCATGGCTTTTCCCATCCTTGGGATTACTTGTTTCATTTTGTGTTAGAACTGGCCAGAGAAGCAGAACAATAGCATTTGTCCTAAAATGATGTAGTTCATTTGTCCACGCAACCAGCCTCCATTACAGAGGCCCAGCTCGCCCTAACTAAGAGACTCAGGATTGGCAGAGTCTCCGGGTTCTGGTGATTGGGCTCTCCCAAACACACCAATCACGCTTCTGATGAGCAATGAAGGGAAAAGAGATTGGGACACCCTATGACCCATATTTCCTATGTTGCATTTCCTGAAAAGCTAACCAAAACCTAACGTCTGCCCAGTGTCTTCTTGCTGGTTCTGGGGCTTAAACTCGGCTTGAGTGATGTCCCTGAGCCTTTTTGTCCTCAAGGCTAGTGCTCTACCACTTGAGCCACACCACTACTTCTGGCTTCTTCTCAGTAATTTACTGGAGATAAGAGACTCATGGACTTTTCTGCCTAGGTTGGCTTCAAACCTCATGCCTCAGATCTCAGCCTCCTGAGTGGCTAGGATTACAGGCGTGAGCACCTGGCTTGTCCCTGTGTTTTTTTGTTTTTTTTTTTTTCCTCAAGCGCTCTACCACAGCTCCATTCCAGTTGTCTTGGTGGTTAATTGGAGATAAGCATCTCACGGGCTTTTCTGCCTGGGCTTGGCTTTGAACTGTGACCCTCAGATCTTAGCTGTGTGAGTAGTTGGTGCTGAGAGCCACCAGCGCCCTGCACATTTCTACCTTTTTATTTATTTATTTTTGCAAAAGGTCTGCTCCTGTTCCTGCAGCCTCCATTTGGGAACTATACAAATTCTGCCGCTTCCATCCTATCTGGTGACCCCACCTGAGTAAGAAGACTTAGTGTCTTCCATCTACCTTCACAGAACTTGGTCCCATGGCCAGACATCACAACCTGAGGTGAGCTGGAATTTTTTTCTTCCTTTCACATCTTCCTATGACAGGGATGTCAATCAAAACTTCACCTAGCATGCATGAAGCCCTAAGTTCAATTCCTCAGTACCACATACACAGAAAAGGCCAGATGTGGTATTGTGGCTTTCAAGTTGTTGGTAGAGTGCTAGCCTTGAGCAAAAGCAGTTCAGGGACAGTGCTCAGGCCCTGAGTTCAAGCCCCCAGACCGGCAAAAAAAACAAAAACAAAAACCCAAAAACCTGTTACAGCTGTCTCCAATCACAGCACCATCCTTGGGACTGGTGTCAGATGGAGAAGCATCATAGAATACGCCGAAGGCCACAGTGAAAAACCAGCTGGGCAGCAAAGTCCTTGAGACTCATCAGAAAGCCAGAAACAGAGCTAGGACTCAAGTAATTAAGAGTGATAAGCCTTGAGCACAAAAGCTCAGGCATAGCTTCCAGGACAGATCCCTCCTCCCCCGCCCCCAAAAAAAAGGACTCGTCTTCCCTGCTCACCCATCAGTCATCAGTGTGATATCTGTTTCGATCCAGGGTAACCTGGACACTTTCCTTAGGCTTCCCTATGGTCACACAGGATACACCCAAGCCCCTGGGGTTTGCAGGCTGACTGATGCTCCTCTAGGCTGCCAAACAAGTCTCCAAACTTCCACTTTTGCCTCTTACATTGTTTTTTGTGGGCTACAGGGCCTTGGCTATGAATGTACTCTGAATTTGTGCTTTTTCTCTGAAACCCAGAGAGAAAGAGAGTGAGAGAAAAGGGAGGTGGAGGGAGACAGATAAGACAGACTGACTGTGACACCTAGTCCAGGTGTATAAGAGAAATTGTGATATCTAAGGATACACCCCTTACAAGTTACTCAGTCCTAGGCACATGGACCCAGCTCTGCCTCATCTTTCTCTGCTTTCTGGAGTCACTGTCTAGACGAGATTTCTTTTTTTTTTTTTTTAAATCAGTCAGGGGGCTTGAACTCTGGGCCCAGGCACTGTCCCTTAGCTCTTCGGCTCAAGGTGAGCGCTGTACCATTTGAGCCATAGTGCCACTTACGGTTTTCTGGTGGCTTATTGGAGATAGTTTCACGGCCTGGGCTGGCTTTGAACCACAATCCTCAGATCTCAGCCTTCTGAGTAGCTAGGATGACAGGCCTGAGCCACCAGCACCTGGCTTAGACATGATTTCTGTCTTGGTTGCTGAGGAGGAAGGGCCTTCTGCCTTCCCTGGCCCAGGAATATAGAAAAGAGGCCATGAGAACTGGAGACGCAAAGCTGCTCAAACCAACTCACTCCAATAGATCCCTGAGCCGAGCAAAGAGGCTGCCCAGACGGGTAAAACTTGCCAGGGAACCTCACTGATCTATTTTCACTTTTTCCTATTGGTCGCTCAATTTTAACACCACTTATATACAAGGGAAAAGGTGTCCTTTCAGATAGGAAATAACGTGGAGTTCTTAGAGGAGCACTAAAAGTCCAAAGTAGAAGTAATTTTATCCTGTTCGTTCCTCCATATAAGAGGATTTAAAAAAAAGGTATTTTTCAGGAGATGTTCATTGAAGGATGCTCTCCTTGGAAGGCGGGCCATTGCAGGTTTGTCTGGGCAGTGTACCAGCTTTGGATCTCTGGGCCAAGTGATGTACTAGGTCCACTGGAGCAGGCTGGAGTGGATGGTCTCGTCCTTCTAGGTACCAGTAATGAGACTGTCTTCTGTGTGACTGCTGGAAGCCTTATGATTTTCCAATAATAGTGCTAGACAAAGAAAAGGAGAGAATGGAAGAGACTGACCGGGAGATGTGGACTTCATGAAGACTTAGAGACTCTTTTCTCATTCACACCATCATTTTTCCTGCAAACATCCTAAGTTTGTGTTCTGCTGGGATTTTTTGTTTGTTTCTGTTGTTTTTTGCGCCCCCCCCCC